AAAAAAGTAAAAAGTAAAAAGTAAAAAAAAAGGATGAATCGCCCCTTATTACTTAATATTTTTTTAATAGCAGTTTAAATTGTTGTAGCTTTTATTTTTGAAGTTTTTTTTAAATTATTTTTTATTTAAAAAATTAAAAAATTAAAATTTTAATATACTAATGAAAAAATTATTTTAATATATTTTTAATTAAAAAAATATAATATACCGCATTACTAAACAAGTTAATTCAAACAACGTTTTTATCGAATAAACAGAGACTCTTCTTTCCATGCGACGTACATGCCATCTAAATCTATAAAAGGACGTGGGTAATACGTGTCCATCCTTGCAAGGTCACTTCACAATTTCTACTGGAAGTTAAATTAACTTTATCTAGAATGCTTTAACTTTACTATTGTATATAAATAGATTGATAATAAGTAGATTTGCTTTCCACGTTACTACTCAGAACTCGAATCCCAAGAGATTAGAAATATAGCAATTTCTTCTATTACGAAGGCTGATCATGATTTTCATAAAACCCTCCTAGAAAATAATTTATCTCAATATATAAAGGTTAGTTAAAAAATACGGACTTAAGAAAAAATAAGAAAAAGCCTTAACCACTAAAATGTGGTTTTCAAATAAAATTTTAATATTAAAAATTTGTTTTTATTACGTTGTTTTTAAAATGTTTTTTATGTTAAATAATATTTTTTTTATTTTTTAAATTATTTTTAAGATTAATATATTAAAATGATCCAAAACATAAAAAAAAATAATTTTTAATAAAAAAATTAAAATTTTAAAAAGTATAGTCATACCACATTCTCATACATTGATATTTGTTTATTCTACTCAAATTATATCAATTAATTAGTTGATTTGAGACGAGTTAGTCTCTGTGCCCTTAATTTGGACCCCTTTTTTTCCAGTTTTTTTGGTTTAAAAGCAATGTAAATGGATATTTGTTTTGCTTTGAAATTAGGTAAATAAGAAGCACAGATCACTTAATATAAATTAAGTATGTTCTTTAGAATATCTATAGCATGCTATAATAGTTAATTATTGGTTATTTTATATCTCCAAAATTTAACCGGTTAGTTACTATTTAATTTTCTTAAATTTTTATAAGCATATCACTATAACTATATACCAAAAGTATTTTACCACGACAGAAAAACTACCAAGGAGAACTAAACCTAAAAGATATAGGTTTTAACAAAATTGACAGCAAATATTTTACCACATGTCACAATAAAGAAACAAAAATTGTTGCACCTAAAAATGAAAAACATAATTATGAAAAATAATAAATTAAAAATAAAAATAACAACTTGTCTAAATAACATGGATTAGATTTTTATTATGACAGAAAAAATAAAAAGAAGAAAGGGAAGATGACAGAGGAACAAACTATCAAACTCATGCTTGTTTTTTTTTTTTAATAGTTATCAAGTTCAATTATCCAATTTAATAAACTATCATAGTTAAAAAAAATCTTGACATTAAATAAATAAATTAAAGAAGAATAAAATCCAATTATATTAAGTATGTATGAAACAGTAAAAAAACCTTTTCTTCTCATCATTTTCATATATGAAAAACAAATTATTTTTGGCGAAAATCATTTTAATCAACAAAAAAGGATGGTTGTTTCAAACTTGGGGTAAAAAGTTGATCCTCAAAATTATTAAATTATAAATTGGTGGTCCCTTCTAATTTTTTTTAAAAATCAATTTTCTTCTCAAACTTTATTTTTATTTTATTTTTTGATCTTTGATTGGAAAAAGAAAAAAAAAAGATGCCAGATTTTAGTTGTAGAGTTAAAGAGTTTTGGTTGACAAGGTCACTCGTTGGGCCTTCTTGTTGCTAAATTTTTTCTTTTTCCTTTTTTTCTTTGGTTTTTTCTTTACTTCACAAAAAAATTTACTATATTTTTTTACTCTTAACTTTTGACATAATTTTAAAATATTATTATAGATCTTTATTTGGATTTCAATAAAAAAAATTCCCTAATTATTATGTATCTAATCTAAAAAAATAACATTAAAAAATAAATTATTCATAAAAATTCGATTGAAATTAGTTTTTTAATAGATTCTAAACTTAATTTTATTATTTTTATGATTTTTTTTAGCTTTCAATCACACAAAACATAAACAAACTATTTTTACATTTTTTTTATTAACTTTCTTTAACAATCATATATATATATATATATATCAAACTTATTATATATTGATTATAATATGTATTAATTAATTACATGAAATAAATAAATTAGTCAACATTAGTTTAACTTAAATTTATTAAATCTACTTTAATAATATTTTTAATTCATTATCAATTTTCTACAAAAATTCAAATTCCTTTACATTTACTGAAATTCAAAACTCA